GAGAAAAGTTTGAAAACTTTATTAATCCTACACATTGTGATGTTCCCATTTCTGACGAAGACATTATCTTTTGCCACAGTTCTGTTAGTCTACTAGCAACACACATTATCCTGTTGACCAAAACAATATTTATGCTTCAAGTATAAAACAGAATGAACAATCCATTGATTGTGTTGCTAATATCGTCAAGCATGTGTACAAAGTAGAAAGAATTATTGCTTGTAAGAACAGTGATTTGCCTAAATTTCATTCCAAATGGAACAATGAACAATGTATTACAGTTATAATTATACACCTGACATGTCCATCATTTTATAAGCGGTTCATTGTATATGCTCTGAAAAACAATGATAACTGTAATCAAATGTACACCTGCTGAACTGGAATGAATAAAAAGAATTTGAAAAAATACCGGAGTATACAATCTATCCATCTGTCCGTCCGTCCGTCCGTCCGTCCGTCCATCCATCCATCCATCCATCCATCCATCCATCCATCATCCATTCACCCACCCACCCACCCACCATCCCTCCGTTCGTCCATCCGTCTGTCATCCATCCACCTACCCACCCCTCCACCCATCCAGCCATCCAGCTAACCTTGATTTGGTCTTGTCTATTTGTTCTTGTTTGATATGATACACATGATATGGCAACAGGAACTATAGTTTGGCATGAAATGCATGTGGACCCGTTTTTTTGTAAATATCTCTTCATCCAATGACCCAATCGATCTCAAACTGTGCAAATGGATGTTTTGTCAGACAACCTAATCACATTGTAAATCACCGATTTTATGCATTTGTATTAAAGAATCTGTCTATGTAACTGTCAACAAAATAAACAGCAGACCGCAAACTGCTTGCAGAGGGAGGGAGCCAATGACCTGTAACAGCGGCAGTGTTGGGTCATAAAGGTCAACGTTCGTCAATGTAGGTCAGCTATGCACGTGACAGGTATGAAGAGGTGTTCCTTTTTAGCAAATAGCCGGCGAATGACATCTCTGATGACCCTGATGTCAAAAGAATCTAACTTTGGATGCCTACCTTTTTGTACAAGGTTTTGTTTATTGGTTGTTGGTTTATTTTTCACAATTTTTAGCACGATGTTCTTTTTCATGCCAAGAGCAAAAGTTGTACGTTTCATGTAATCCAACACCTTATAAATCGGTTTGCTATGTTTGCTCTCTTTTTAAAAAAAATTCAACACATTTCTAATTAAACGTTTAGCATCATCTGAATAAGCTTTCATGATGACAGCTAGAAGTAGTCAATGTGAATGATCCAAACGGTCTATCACTGTGAAGTGCACAGGTAACTATCATGAACTGCACGTGCATTTACCTTTATGACCCAACACTGCCGCTGTTACAGGTCATTGGCTCCCTCCCTCTGCAAGCAGTTTGCGGTCTGCTGTTTATTTTGTTGACAGTTACATAGACAGATTCTTTAATACAAATGCATAAAATCGGTGATTTACAATGTGATTAGGTTGTCTGACAAAACATCCACTTGCACAGTTTGAGATCGATTGGGTCATTGGATGAAGAGATATTTACAAAAAACCCGAGTCCACATACATTTCATGCCAAAGTATAGGTGTGTTTGATCTCCTTACCTTCATATTCACACAACAGTTTACATTCCAGTGCAAATTATAATATTTTTCCCAATACATGTATATATTTTGTGGCAGATAAAGTTTTTGGATGTTTAACGCCGCACTGAGCAATATTCCACCAATATGGCGGCCGCCTGTAAATCGTGTCTGGACCAAATCTTGTGATGAACATAATGAGCATCGATCTACGCAATTGGGATACAATGACATGTGTCAACCATGTCAGCGAGCCTGACCCGCGATCCCGTTAGTTGCCCCATACGAGAAACATGGGTTGCTGAAAAATAATTCAAACACTACCATGACGTCAACTGAAAATATAGTGGGATCTTGCACTTCAATTCCACGTAATCCTTTACACGTAAATTAATCCAAGATACATAATATTCAATAATGTAAATGATTATTTTCACTTTATTACGAAAGTCCCATAGAGACATGACACAGGCATCATTTCATCATTACTATGCGAAGAGATCACCCTTGGGGAGGAACGGGGATAATTCTGTGGACATACAGCTTGTTAATGTTGTTAGTATCTACACCGCAACTCATTCTAACAAGGAAGAATTGTCTTCATTGTTCATCTAAATGACAAAATTCTGAATGTCACTTAAAGAAGTCACTTGTGAAATTCTTGAACGAGTAACAATTACCGATTGTCATGCTCTTTTGATGCGCTTTTTCATAAAACACTCATTTAAACCTATTTGTATTGGGGTAATGTTGCAGCCCCTGTGTTTAATAGTATGGGAATCGCTCGTGAAGGTCCGGGTTAGAATCAGTTGATCAGTCACTAAGTGACGTTACAAGACTAGATTATTGGTGACTGAGACATTCAACAACCGACACAAACAAAAAGTACAATACTTTGGAATCTCGAAAAATTATTCATAATCAATGATTTAAAAGTTGTTGTTTTTCAATTTTGTACAGTATTGTTTCACTTACTTATTCAGTGAGACGTTAAACAACAACCAAACCAGACAATGCCAAATGGATGCCAAATTGATATACTGATATTTACATGTACAACATACTGCACTTGGTTGACCGAACATTTACATTTACATGTACCATACTTTGTAGAAGCAAATCAGTGGTTAGACATTCGGCGAATGATTGATAAGTTATGACGTTCACAAGAAATTGCGCAATGATAGTATCTTTCCTTGTGGACATTACATGTTTCAGTGTAAATGATCCATGTAATATGCATGAGGAATGTGGAGTGAACCAGTACTTGTAGAAGAAGGGTTTGCCTTTATAGGCCACCAATGAAGTATCTACAGTACAACACAATACAAGGATTCCCCTTTCTGCATATCTGTCCTTTCAGATTGTATATACATTCAGGAATTTTGAAATTCTTTGCTATGGATTAGTTTTTGAAAACATGGGGCTGGCGACCGAAATGAAAATATAAAATTATAGTTTCACACCGTTATTATAACTGAACTTCTCAATAGTACGCTTTTTCTTCTTGTGGGCTTCTCAAATATATCTACTTTCAATTCATATTTACTGAAATAAAATAAAAATATCTAAATGCGGGATAGAATTATAAGGATTTATTATTCATCATTTTGTGTGGCTTTCATATGATTTCAAAATAACAATAATCAGATAATTGTATTTAAATGCATATATAACCCGCAGATAAGATCAACTCCCAGATATTACGTAAACAACTACACATCATTATTTTCCTTATGTACTTCAGTGTACTACGAGTACTACTATGAGTTAATGATTTGGTATCAAGGTTAGTATTCTCGACCACATTAATCAAGCGAAATCGCCGGAAAACGACCTGATAGTGTGAACAGAGTCAAACTAGTTCACACGTATTAATACATAGCTTCGGTGAAATCATGGGATTTCCATCTGCATATAGTTCGAAATACCTTACTTACCTATGTTTATATCTTATATTTGTAACTCACAGACTTTATTTTATCTTATGAAAACGTACGCATATATACCTATGTAAACAAATGTTTTGAATGAAACATCTGAAATATCGAGACTTTGAGATGTGTTGTGACTGACAGCCGACATTTTGTTTTGATCACGTTACTTGGGTCATGTGACCAAGTGCAAATAGTTCCGGCAGCACGCGATGTTATTATACAATGTGTAACAACCACATTGTAGATTTATTAAACAGTGATAATCTTCAACGGGTGAGTACATAATGTGTCTCATATACTACAGAGTATGTAACCCACACGCAGCTTCATAATTTGTTTCAGGTACAACAGTGCATGTAATCCGCACGCTCAATTCGGCTTTTAATTTGTAATGTCCAACAATGAATGTAACCCACACACAGCTTCATAATTTGTCTCAGGTACAACAGTGCATGTAATCCGCACGCTCAATTCGGCTTTTAATTTGTAATGTCCAACAATGAATGTAACCTACACACAGCTTTATAATTTGTTTCAGGTACTACTACAGTGCATGGAATCCGCACGCTCAATTCGGCTTTTAATTTGTAATGTCCAACAACGAATGTAACCCACACACAGCTTCATAATTTGTCTCAGGTACAACAGTGCATGTAATCCGCACGCTCAATTCGGCTTTTAATTTGTAATGTCCAACAATGAATGTAACCCACGCACAGCTTTATAATTTGTCTCATGTACTACTACAGTGTTTGCAATCCGCTTGCTCATTAATTCCTTTATGCACAACGGAGTATTCTATCAAGACTGCACACCCGTCGTTTGAAAGAAAACATTCTCTGTCCGAAAATGATACAAGACTGGTAGCATGATTCAATATGAATACACACTCACTTAACCTTACACACGTTTCCGTTAGATACGAGGCACAGTGTAACTTGTTAAGAGCTTTATCTGGGCATTATTCACAATTGCCAAATAAAATAAGTATTGAGCTCTTTGCAAAAGTAGATAATTCAATGTGTGCTGGATAAACCACTGAACCCGGATGTACGTGGACGTCACAAATTTATAATCAAAGCACTGTGAATAATACTGATACTATTTTCAAACATATTTAGCGGTCCGTATTTGTTCTTGCCGGGAAAGTAATAACTTAATTACCCACATCTAATTGGGTCAAAACTGCAGTCAATAACATAAATTCTGGTTGTGTCGTTATACCATTTGTTCACATGCTTTGTACATGTAGTTGAGACACCCAATGGCTTGTTTTCGCCATGAGGGATATGTTTCTTGGTATCCAGAAAACCTTAAAAAGGATTCCTTTATTGAAGCACTTTATGAAGTTTATATCTTGTTTCAAGCCTGAAATTCAATGGCTTCATGGTCAGATTTTAGGGTGACATCGTTGTAACTGAGGTGCCTTGTCCTTTTCACATGTTAATACAGGACAACATATATACAGTGAAGTTATTAAAAGCTTTTATTATATGAGACACGTCTGGACAAGAATGTCGGACGGATATCCCTTAAAACATGAATACATGATCACGAATGCATTTTCGTGTACAGAGCTGGGAAATGTTCTGATATAATTGAGCATAAACTGTGTTCTTGTTAATGCTTGGAAAGTAACTGTGTCCTGGAAGTTTTGTTTGTTGTTTGACGCTGTACCAATAAACCAGTTCTATGGCGGAGATCTGTGAAAACTGGAGTCTGGACTGGAAGTCCCCTTGACTAATATGATGAGCACTAACCAACACACCTAACCACCTGATCCCTTTGGTCTTGGGTGCTGATGTCCTGGATGTTTTCTGGGTTCGTAGAAGTCACAGATAAGATGATATCACTTGGATACTATTTAAAATTTGATATCCCCAATGCATTATTGAATATATTGCTAGCAACAGCAACATATACTTTCAGCCACCAATACGTCTCTTGACTAACATCTTGAGCACCAACCAAGACAGCGAGCCCAACCACCAGGTCCCTAACCATTCAGCCACCAATACAAAACAATTTAACAAACATATACATCTGCATATGCACTGATACCTCAACTTGAATATATGTATTTTTGTGCTGGTCAATTCCTCTCTCTCTAGATCATCATTGTATGGAGATCTTTAAGTGTCTTAATTCCATACACTTGCGGTGCTCTGGTCTCACAGAGATGTTCCCCAGTCAGCTCAGTTCCTTCAATGTACACTTTGCCAAGCTTCTGCTGTCCCCATCTGATTACCTCATCAATCACCGGTGTCTTCAAACCAACGATCTTTGCCATACCTTTCACAACAACAAGACCGAAAGGAACATCTTCAGACAAATAACGATGTTGAAAATCTGGCACATATCCCCCCTTGACTTTTTTCATAGGGTGAACCATTCCTTCGTAGGCCTTGTTGGTCACAAGGACGGTCTTTAAGCTGGATGGGTTTGATATTGCAGATCCATAACTTTTTATGAACCACTCGTACATTGATAAGCATCCTTGAAAGTGAATACCAGTCCGTTTTGAAATTTCTTTTGTAATCAGCTGGACTTCATCATCCAGGTCAGTTACACATTTTGCTTGAAAGTCGTCAGTTCCTTGATAGAAAAGCGGTTCCTCTGATAAGGGAATACCGTCCCAGTGTTTCCAGCGACCATACATCAGGCCTGGATGGATCGAAGTGAACATGAGGCTTACTTCCAGGAAGTGGTTGATTTTGTTTAGAGCAGGAGGACTTCCCAACACGGACTGCAAGTGTAGCAGAGGGTTGATGGTACCCCTGGAGGTATCTTTAATGACTGCTACATCTACGGTTTTCTTTATCCCATTGATTTTAACCTTTCGTCCATATTCAACAATCCTACAAGCCCAGGGAAGGGTTGTCGCAGACAACACGCTGACAAATTGGGACTTTGCCTTAAGAATGTCACGAGACTGAAATTCAAATCCTGGTTGACCAGGAAGGCCTACAATGGTTGCTGGGCTGCATATGTATGGTTCTATGGCTTTCAGATAATTTTCATGGGAAAACGCAGGTACCGTGATCAGGATCAGGTTCGCGCCAGGGACAACGTCCGCTGGGTTTTTAGAAATCATGTTAGGCCTCGCACTGATTTCGGATTCATTTGGAAACATGCAACACATCATTCCATGTTCTAAAGATTTGTTCCACATCTCAGCCTCGTCCTTATATAGGGTCAGTACATTGGTCTGAGTGTTTTCACGTGAAGATAGAATTCCAGCGAGAACATGTGCACCATTGCCACCTCCACAAATCAAGATATTTTGTGTTTTCGATGACATTTCTTTACTGAAAAATATTAACAGAATTAGCTAAACATACATATTTAAAAACAATGTAGTAAAACTTTGATAGATTCAGCAGATGGTAGAAGGGAAGAAGATGAGATTTTTAAAATAGCATGTTACTTATGAAAATATAAGACTGTACTATTTTGTGTTTTGTTCGTCCTGAATTTTTATTCCGACGTGAAATAATAAAGCAGTTTTTTTAACTGAAGTTTTTCCACCGATGTGCAAATGTTATAAACACTTTGAGGCATACTTTTCCCCTTTGAAGTCAGTTTGATCTTTCTTCATCTACATTTATTCCCAAATTGTTCTTGAAGCAAAACAACTCGATCTACTGCATACATGTTTTAAAAGACTGTGCGATCTAATTGATAAAGTTTCATAAAATAAGTTACATACCTAGTGATAAACATTTTATATCATCTAGGCTGAGATTGGAGACGGGAAACAAATAAAACAATACTGATGGTTAAAATGAGTCAAACTTTCGCTAAATCAGTATTGCATTAGACTCGTTTAATATCAACGGACAGAAAGGCAATTTCAGCAGCGATATACATTTATGGCTATGCATGACCATTTGAGAATTACAACCATTCAAGTTATTACATCAATTAGAAATAACCGACAATATTCATGTGAAAGGAACAGACACAATAACAACGATAATAGTTAATAGTTGTCATGAGCTCTGGGACAAAGAAACTGTAACTTTGTTCTGAAGATGTGAAATCTCACCGTTCAGTGCATGGAATAATCAAACAACAGCCGGCGGTCGTCAGTCTGAAACTGAACAGGAGAGTAATGGATGCATAATGTTAAATGGCATGCGCTGGCCTTTCCTGATTAAGCATTGATTAAATCAGCTCTAACTAGGCCGAGGCAGCTTGCAATGAGAGGTCAAGTAGATGGCAGTACGTTTGTTCATTGGCTGGCATGTTTGATTATGCTCGACACCAACTGCAAAATAGACTAACCGCTGTCGTGATCCTGGCCAAATACGTCCTTCCCCCATCTCTCTCTGTCTCTCTGTATGTCTCTCTCTCCCTCTCTCTTTTTCTCTCCCTCCCTATCTTCGATCTCTCTGTCTGTCTGTCTCTCTCTCTCTCTCTCTCTCTCTCTCTCACACACACATACACACCACACACATCATCTAAGCCCCCTCTCACACCCTCTCGCTTTCACTTTCTTTCCCTCTGGAAGTCCAGTAGATGCAGTATATCTTTCTGTTCATGTGTTTGCATGTTTGATTTTGCTCAACACCACCTGCAAAACTGAATTAGCTGCAGTCTTCATCCTGGCCAACCCCCCACCCCTCCTCTGGCTTACAATGAGAGGTCAAGTAGAGTGCACTGCGTCTGTTCATGATCTTGCATGTTTGATTATGATTATCACCACAACTAAACTAATTGCGGTGATCCTGGCCATATCCCTCACCCCCGTATCTGTCTCTCTCTCTCTCTCTTCCCCTCTCTCTTTGTCTCTCCCTCTCCCCGATCTCTCTGTGTGTCTATATGTCTCTCTCCTCTTTCTCCCCTCTCTCTGTCTCCCCCCCTCTCTCCCTCTGTCTCTCTCACACACACCACACACCTCATCCCTGCCCTTTTCACCTTCAGTCTCCTTCCCTCTGGAAGTCTAGTAGATGTTTCTTTCTGTTCATGGTTTTGCATGTTTGATTATGCTCAACGCTACCATGCAAAACTACTATAATCGCCCTCTCTCTCTGTCATCCTCTTTCCTATCTCTCACTTTCTTCTTCCTTCTCGCTTTCCATGTTTCTCTCTTTGTCTAATGGGACATTTCCATAATCTTTGGAACGTACCATATAAATGAATGTACTCATAATAAATTTCATATAATTTATATGCCGAACTTAGCCAGACACTAGTTTCTCTCTTCCCCGACCAATGGATCCAAATGCATTAAAAATATCGTTCTCAACTAACTGCAGGTATAGAACCCATCCATTCATCTATTCATCCATCTAATCTTGGTTTGTTTATTCGTTCTATTTATATGATATGGCAATAGGAACTATGTTTATGTGATCTCCTAACCGCCAGGGACCAATATAGTTCAATTTTATTATAAACGTTTCAACATATTCCGAATCAGTTCGCAATTCCACTGCAAATTTTAAGGTTTTCGTTTAGATGTAGTTTGGCAGATATAGAATCACTCAACCTGTACTATGGCGTCAAATGGAGTATTTCACATTTAAACCCGCAACCTTTTCAAATGAAACTATAGTGAAATCTTCATCTTCAATGTCATGTTAATCCTTTACGTCCATATTGATACTTGTGTACAACAATGTAAATTATTACTTTCACTTCATTGTGAAAGTCACACAGACAAGAGGCAAAGACGTCATTACATAATTGCTATGTATACTCTTTGGAACAGATCACCCACGGGGAAGAAGGGGCATAATTGAATGGACATGCAGCTTGTCAATGCTATTAGTATCTACACCGCAAAGTCGCACTCAGTCTAATATCAAAGTTGTATATCCATAGGATTGTCATTGTTAATGAGTTTTAAGTGTCATTTAGAAACGTTACTTGAGTAAATCTTGAAAGCGTAACAATTAAGTGTAACACTGTCATGTGTTTTTATATTATGCGTTTTCATAAATGAAACCTTTTTGTTTTGGGGTAACTTTACAACCATTGCGTTTAATAGTATTGGAACCACACGTAAAGATCCGGGTTAGAATTGATCTTTAGCAACCTATGCTTTGGGATCCGATGGTCAGGCTCGCTTGTCATCATATCCCAGTTGCGTAAGTCGATGCTCATGCTGTTGATCACTGGATTGTCTAGTCCAGACACGATTATTTACAGACCGCCACCATATAGGGAGTAAAACTAAACTCACTCACTCACTAATCCGGACACATGCATTTTCTGAAATTTTGTCCGGATAACAGAGTTTCTGGACATCTAAACCCCCTATCCACTGACCAGGATTACCTATCTATCAAAAATCTACCGACGCAATATGAGAAATAAGGGTTCATGTCTGTGAAACACCGGCGTTATGAAAGAGGGTGCGTGTCAGAACAGGACTGTGGGGTGTAGCGTGTTTGTGTTAAAATTCCAGTACGTGACCATGCACAATTCACAAAGAACTAGTGAAGTATACTGTACTTGTATTGGAGATGATGTCCTCATGTCCATTTTACAGCTTCTAAGGCAAAAATATCTTCGTAACTATTATTGTAAACATCAATCTGTAGAACAGTTTAATCTCCTAATTAATTGTCCCAGTGTGCTCTCAACCCGTGAAGATCCGGGTTAGAATTGACCTTCTGTAACCCATGCTTGTCGCTTGAGCCGAGTAACGGGATCTGGCGGTAAGGCTCGCTGACTCGGTTGACACATGTCATCGTATCCCAGTTGCATAGATCGATGCTCATGCTGTCGACCACTGGATTGTCTGATCAAGACTCGATTATTTACAGCCATTTAGCTGGAAAATTGGCGAGAGCAGCGTTAAACAACCAACCAACCAACCTTATGTGCCCTAACTGACTAGAATTGCTAGAGCTACCTGTTACTGTTTCACTTAAAACATTACGATTCATCTTCGCTAATGTACATATGCTTGCTCTATGTCATTGTTAGACTAACATCTAGTCTCTGAAATGAACAAATCTTTCAGAAAAATCGGTTCATAAATAATAATTGTAAAATATAATGAAAGGGAGCCCTGAGATTTTTATCAGTTTCTGAAACTGTTGAAATCTAGACTTGCCACATATTCTAGGCTTGCCTGGACTTTCTTGGATAGATTTTTTCAGGGTCTGTATGACAGACTATGTCAATGTCAGTTATTAGCGAGAATAATACACTCTTCGAAACAAGAAACGCATAGGTGTTTGAGAATATTGGACTCATGTAGCTACGGCAAAAAAAAGAAAACTTACGAGAGCCAAACCCAGGACATCTACGTCCGGGTTGACCACTTGTGTCATCGTCTTGCCAAGTCACGTCAAGTCAAAGACATATACATGACATAGAGTAAACAAATATACATAAAAACAATGAAACTATATATATTATATAGCCTTGGAGACTGCACAACGCATCCCCAGTTTGAAAAAAAATTTCCGACCAAACTGTCAGCGTGTTTACCGTGGAGGAAATGAGACAGATCGACAGATTATTGGAGACAGTGTCATGGTGTGGGGCGCGATATCCGGCACACAAAGATCTGATTTAGTGGTGGTTCAGGGGAGTTTGACAGCAAATCGGTACATCAACGAAGTATTTGCACCTCACATGCTTCCGATTATGGACCGACAGAAGGAGTTGTTCCAGCATGACAACGCTACTTCACATACAGGACGCGTCACGGTCCGCTACGTTGGCAATTCTAACGTCAGTGTCTTGCCATTACCTTCTCGACCACCAGATCTAGAAACCCGATAGAACACCTATGTGATGAACTCGATCGACGTGTACGTCAACGTCAAAACACGCCTCAGACACTTCCACAACTGGCCATCGCATTGCAGGAAGAGTGGGGAAGAATTCCGCAAGAGCGATTTCGTCGACTTATCCAGTCTGTGCCGACACGGTTCCAAGCAGTAATTGTTGCCAATGGTGGCCATAAAAAGTATGCTGCTGTACGTGTTGGCCATCTCTTTGTCTATAGACGTGTGAATTTTCACCTTTTTACCATTACAAATACATGAAATAATTCTAAATGGAATTTTGATGCGTTCCCCTTTTTCTGTGTGCCTGCGTTCAAAGCGCTAAGGTGACCACGTAACAGTTTCACGTTTATTTTATGCTTTATGACCTTCCTTTTCACGTCAGCAGCAAGGAATGTGTTCCAACAGCAATTTGGTCATTGCCGTGTGTATGGCACAACGAGAAACTATAAAGAATCACCACCTCACAAATATTATTAATAACGTGTGTGGATAGTTTCTATTTTGTTTAGTATATCCTGGCGTGTCAGCTTATTGTTTGAGGAATGTCAGAAGTGACGATACCTACTTTGGCGACACCAGTAAACAGGGTTACCGTGCTGACAAATAATGAAATACAACCAGGTCGACTCTGAGATTCAAACCCATAATACATTGTATCTGGCATAGCAAATCAGATAATTCGGCCCGCATGCTCCCATAAATGTCTTTGGTTTCTCTTAGTAATGAAAATATTAATTCTAATAGGTGTTCGTTTCCCATATACCAAGGCATACACGCATTCATTTTGCTATTATGAAACCACAAATGTAACGAATGCAAATATTATTTCTATCGTTTGAAGTATGAATTAGAGGGAATTTTTTTTCTCCTAGCGGTATGAAGCGTTCACATGGGTTATCTGCCCGGTAGGTGGCGTGTTATGGGAGTATATAAGGGTGTAGATATTTGAATTTAGTGCACTCCCGGCCTTTCAGCATTTAACATGAATTCTGACGACAAATTAGACGCCATTTTGTCACAACTAGAGAGAAATAAAGCCACGTTTGAATCGGCGCTCGACGAACGGATTGGGGCTTTGAGGGAAGAATTCGTTCAGACATCTAAAGACATTAAGAGGCTGAAAGCAGAAAAAGATTACACTTGGCGACGTGAAGGTAACAAAATGCAGTTCAATTTTAACGAAGAAACTACGGATGCTTTAAAAGAAGTGTTGGCCGCCATTCAGGGCAAACGTTTTGAGGAAAGTGAAACGTTAGTAACGTCAGAGTTGGAAAGAATCCTTAAAAGAAACAAACTCATCAAAATAGCCGACTCGTCTGAAGGTGGGTGGGAGACAGTGAGGAATTACGTGGCAAACGATTTAGCTGACGATTCCGATGATGCCCTGAAAATCACGAGGGCAGATAACAAAGCGTTGCGTAAATTACGCCAGAAGCGTGGAAGAGGTGCTCCATACCCGAGTAGGTCAACCCGGAGACAGACAACGATGTCTCAGCCCATGCAAAGTGTCCTTCACCAAACTTCTCCTGTGCTTCACCAGCCTAGCACTAGTCATCTTTTTCGCGGGAAAAGCGGGAAGCCTGGATCATGTTTCACGTGCGGAGACTTCGGCCACTTCAGGAGAGAGTGTC